CATACACACATACCTACACACATACATATATACAAGTCACATATTCAAAATTACTCAATCACCTAAACATTCTTTCATTTAACGTATTTTGCAGGATGAGCTGATGGACAACTGTGAGCTAGATGCTTTCTTCAAAACATTGAAAGAAAACGGTATGTTATTATAATTTCTTTGTACCATAGTTTTAATAACAGCCAGTAAATTAAAAATTTGAACTGAAATTCTTACAAAAACATTTTAGTATACCGTTTAATTTTTGTGTTTCAGTAGGTTTTTAAAGTTTTTTTTTTGTTTTGTTTTTGTTTATTTGGTGTTCTTTTTTTTTTTTGCGATGTGTATTTTCACTTAGGCCATACTGTAATTTCCTTTTGGACAAAATAAGGAAATCGGAATTGGTTGATAAAAGTACTAGCTATGTTGGCTTTTCAATGAAGATGCGTATTGCATATAAAACGGAATATCATGTTGTTTCTTCCAGACCAGCTTCTTTGTGACATTTCCCAAGAGACATCGGCAGCCATTTCCGCTCTTTTTGACGTATCCTTTTTATCAAGCAACATAAACAGCCTGTGGATGGACTAATGAATTCCGAAATATTAAATCACAATAACTTTTATCATTTTTTTTCGGAGTTTGTTTCATAGTACTGTATCTTATGTCAAACTTACCATTGGATGGTTCTTGAATATTTTTTTTTTGTGTTTATGTCATAGAGCTATTAAACAACTAGAGTGCTGACAAGATGGCGCTGCAATGCAGAGTTGTGTACGTGTACATTCCAAGATGGCCGTCGTAGTAAAGCGCCACCTTCATTCTTAGTATACATATTACATTATTAATAAGCCCTCTGACTGACTATTATTTCATTAATGATAATGAGTAATGGTAATAACAAATTATTAAACTATTGTAGCCAAAACGAGGCCAAGTGGAGCATCTTATTCAAAAATAAAGTACCAAGGAATGAAAATTAAAATCGTATACATTACAACCAAACACCGCAACGCTCGAGTTTCAAACATAAGGGTAACTAGCCTGTACTGAACTTCTGAGTAAATTGAGGGCGCAATTGCAAATGATGGCGCTTAGCGAAATTTGATTGGCTAAATCTATGGCAGCCATCTTGGATGGTACCCACACAGTTCTGCGTATTTCTAACATCGAATACATTGCGGTTAGCGCTCTAGTATTCTTATTATATCTCTATGGTTTATGTAGATTGACCTTTGATATAGGCATGCGCAGCTCAGACTACGAAGTGACTTTGATTGGAGAATTTTTTAAATATATATATTTCCCTTAAAATGTAATACAGGAAGACGATTCAAGGAAACTCTGTATAGATGAAGTTTGCAATATAGGGGCCTTAGTTCATTATAGCAAAGTAAGCAATATTTTAGAATTATCTGTATTAACTCGATAGTTCTTTAAATAGAGACAATATTATTAGACGGGACGCGTGCTAAACGTTTCCGAGATATCAAATTCTATAATAGTTATTATTACAAATAGTCCTCTACATAGTATAAGTCCCATTATCTTTATTTGTTTCAGGTGATGTTCAGAAAAGCGGATAAAGACAGAAGTGAGTGTCTGAATGCCAGTGAGTTGAGGGACGCATTGTATCGGGCAGGTAACCAGTCGTTTTATTTACAAATTCAGTAGAATAGACAAATCAATACACAGACTGATATGGACCGAAGTTACAACCAAACCAGAAACATCAATAACTCTAATTATGAATTTACCATTTTAGGGCTCATCACCAGTGACACAGTTCTATATCACTTGGTCAGTCGTTACGTGGGTAGTGATAATAAAGTCACATTTGACGAGTTCTTCCTCATAGTTTCGAAACTTCGCTATATTATAAGTGAGTATAATAACAATATGCATGTTTTCATACAGCACTTTTCAACATTATTGCTCCAGTCATTGGAAATGATATCAGTGGGGAAAATTCCTTAGTTTGCTGCATTAAATAAATCAGCTAATTTTGCATTTGAACCACTTGAACACCCACTTATACTCCTATGTGGCGATAAATAAAATGTCTTACCGAAGGACACAAGCACTTGCACAGCGAAAGTTCCGAACTCCCTGATCTAAAGTATACACTTCTCAACCATTGTGCCAACTTGTAAGAGGGAATTGTACATTCAAAATTAATATAAATTGAAATGTGTTAAACTTATGTTTTGTGTCTAATTAATTATTCCATGACTTTGCAGAGCAATTTGAAGCACTGGGCGGATCGAATGAGAAATCCGTAGCAATGTCCGTTGAGGATGTAAGTAAACTATTAATTTGTTTGGTTGTTTTGTTAATATTACTTTTATAAAACGTTGTTATTCGTTATTCATATTATTAATATTAGAGCCAAATACTGTATATTATTGTTGTTATTATACTCTTAATTGTATCATACTGCTGATATTTTACAGTCTTTTTTTACAGTAACCTATTATATACTATAAACATTTTTAATCGAATGAACCTATTTAGAAGTGTAAGTAAAATGATTAACTAGTTTTTTTCCATTCCTTTAATCAGTCATTATCATTGTCTCTTTCAGTTACTGACGATGTGCTCCAAACTGTGAGCTGTTTTGAGTAACGATATACGAGAACGATTAAAATAGTTGTAATGATGATTATCCTCAGAAAATATTACTAACAAATATGTACGGGAAGTAGTATCGTCAACTAGCAGTTATGTACTTACCAGACGCTCTTCTAGGTTGAAATCCTATGGTGATAGAGCCTTCAGTGTTGCTGCACCTATCCTCTGGAACCAGTTACCATCTGACTTAAGAGAAGCTACAAGTTTTAATATATTCAAGTCAAAGCTCAAGAAATTCCTGTTTTGTTGATTTGCCGACCTCTGACCCGAAAC